ATAGACATTTGGTGAAAAAATCATATGTATTATTCAATGAGAGTTTTAATGAATATGTCATCATTTCGACCAAAAAAAGGAATATGTCATTTAAATTAACTAATGAAAATATTTTAATTAAAACTATATGCTATGGTGGAAATCTCTATATATTTTTATTAATTTTATAACATAAACCCATTAATATATATTTTACAGAGTTAAGTTTAACTAAATGTAATATTTAGACTTACTAACTATATCATCTATTTAAAAAAAACTGATATATTAAAAAGCTTTTTATGATTTTATTTGTAAAAATATTATTTATTTGTAGATGATAAATATACATACAAATATTTTTACATTTTATTATTAGAAAACATATATTTTTTGTTTGATATGTCCGACAAATTTATATAAATCTAAATTTATTTGATTTATCGCATACTCTACTATTTACACAAATAATAAAACTCAATTTGACACTTCAAATCAATTGAAATAAATAACATTTGCATTAGTTTTAATATTTTATGTAAAATTGATCAAAGCATATGATTTTGAAATATGTTTGGTAAAAATTTAATTTTATTACATTTATTCATAATACATATCATTTTGTATGTTTATAAATATTCGAATATACATCTAAATATTAAGATCGATTAAAAAATATATTTTAATATTTAATTTCACGCTTGATGTGGGTCTAATATATATAGCCAAACGAGTAGCAGCTATGGACTCTGGTTATTGAATTCGTTGGTGAGCTTTGATGGAGTATGTTCTGATTATTGGGCCATGATCAGTCCAGTGTGGCTTCAAAACCCATAAAATTGTCCCCTTTTATATGGAAAATTTGTTGAAAAAACATGAAAAATGAGAAGAAGCACTCGATCCAAATATGAGAGTGAGATAAGTTTTTTGAAACTTTCATAAGTCATCACATACCATTAAACTTCTCTATTTTAACCGATTCCATAACATTGCTATACGAAACTCCTGATTTACATGTTTCTTCATTACTCAACATCACTTAGGTCGCATAAACCAACTTTGTTTATTTGCAACAGCTAAAAACTTAGTACTAGTAGTTATAACACTCACGCATGAGCAGATTTTGTATCTTTCTTCAGTTTGGAGTTGATGACTTTGTCTTGATCATAAAGCTTTGGATTATGAGTTGAAATCCAGAGAAAAGCTCCCATAGCGAATTCTCGCTTGTGAGCCAAGTCACCATAAGTAGACAAACCGTAATCTGCTAAAACCCTGTCGAGTTTCCACTCGGGCATGTCTTGGTAATCTTCTTTAGAGTATCGAGGGTAATGAAGAGGCATTTGAAACGCATTTGCTTCACCGTTCTTGCCATTTTCGACATCCATATCGTAATTAAGTACCCTTTTGTGTTTATATTTTGCTTATGATGTGGCAATTATGCATGTGTTCTTCGGAGGCTAAATTATTTATAAAGATGTTGGAAGTGATCGGTTAACACACTTAACGTGTGAGTTTTGTCACACGGATTGGTTTGTTTACCTTCTTCATCTCCTTTGCTAAACGCATGAACATGTGTGGATAGACACTTTTATACTATTGGATTATTCGATCACTCACACGTACGGATGAGTTTTAGATTTAAACAAAACTTTGGATATTCGTCAATACATTAATTCTAAAATATACTATTTGGTTTAATTAATACATAACATAAATCGTAACGAAAAGTGTGCGGTCTCGAAAGTTCTTATACTTACAAAAAAAATCATGAATAATTTTTGTTTTTTTTAACTTAATTCATGAATAATTGACCTCTAGGAAAATTGAGAATTTGCATAAGATTATGTGTTAGGGCTGGGCAAATTATCGTTAA